AATTGATCTTATACTTCAATGTACACCCACATGCCAGTCAAAGGACAACCTAACACCCTACCCCAACCTCCCCATGCACATTTTTAATATTTATAACAGAACTGTTATCATTAATATTGTTTAAAAGATAAAGCATTAGCTAGAACCTAGGTGTCTTACAGAGATCCTTTGTTGCAATATAGCTTTATCTATATATAGTAAAGGTGTCCAATTACCAATACCCTTTTCAACAAACAGAAATAAATGATAAGCTTTTTGTCCTAAAGTCTGAAGTCTGATTCATTAAAAGCCACGTTGGGAGAAAGCATGATGTAATGCAACAGGCTTCTTCATGGCAAGCAATTCCCTAGATGGCTGAGGTAATTGGAAAATTCAAGGCTAGTCCCTAAGGTGTATGTAATTTATTCAACAGGCTTGAGAGAAAGCTGAGATTTTTCTTTTTTTTTTTCCCCAAGTGGCATTTGGTTAAATAAAAAATAATGGAGTCAGGGGGAAGGAAAATCTGGTTTGTAGAATTGGCTACTGAGGAGATTCAAACTACAAATTCTATCAGTCGGTTCATTAGTCATTTAATTCGTTCAATAACATATGCTCACAAGGCTCTTCTCTGTGCCAGTGGCTGCAGCAGTGGCCGCAAGAGCACGAACAGCTGTGAGGGTGGGGCGCAGCACCCGGCAGGGCTTCACCGTTGAAGCCCCTAAATCGGAACCGACCCGGGGGCAGCTACCAACAACATCTGCTAGGATCTGTCAGACGGTGGCACATAGAGCATGGACGATTTCATAAATGTCAAGGCCCTGCTCTCAAAGAACACATTGTAACGGGGAGACATAGGCAATAGCACCAAAAATGAGAGTTAGATGGTGATGCCTTCTACAGAGAAAAAGGAAACCAGGTGAATGGGTGAGTTAGTTTATTGTGCCAACCTAGGGTTAATGGGTGAGTTAGTTGTGCCAATCTGGGGTTAATTGAAGGGCGGAGGGATAAATGGCTCAGTGAGCCTCGCCTTTCTAGTTCTTGGGTCTCTTGCTTTCTGATGGTCGGACCAGGGTGCAGTTGCCTTAGCCAGTTCCCTGATTCAGCTGGCAAGGCTCACTTCCTGCAAGACATCCTTGAGGAGAAGCCACATGGACCTGCCCTGATGCAGCCCTGCCAGCACTGAGATGCTTACACATTCACTGACTTGGCTTTCCTCCTGCAGTCGGCATCATTGCGTCTGTTTTGTGAGATGGAGGAGGACTTTCTGGATTGGTGTTTGACATAGGGGTTAATGAGTTAATGCTGGACTTGTGGGCCTGGGCAGCACTGGGTTGAAATGTCTTCTTGATGTGCACTTAACCTTTATATAAAACTCTTTATTATACATGAGTTTCTAATACAATGGGGCAGGAGTGTTGGGCTCAGGAGCTGCTCTTTTACATGGGGTTGTCTGGGTGCAGAAACCTGAAGAAAACTGGCCAGGGAAGCGTGGCGTGTCCACAAGAAGAGCATTCCAGATGAAAGGTTGGGCTTGAGAAGAACCTGAAGCAGAGAGGGCCTGGGGAGTTGGAGGAGCAAAAGACAGGCCCGCGTGGCTGGCACAGGGTGGTGGTGGTGGGTGGGTAGGAAAGGAGAGGAGAGTCTTACACACTAACACAAAGACTGACCTTTACTCCACATAAGACGGGAAGCCCCTGGAGGATGGTGAGTCGGCGAGAGATGTGATCTGAAATGTCTTACAAAGACCCTTCTGGCTCCTAGGTAGAGGACAGACTCTAGGGGAATAATGGCAAAGGCAGAAAGCCTAGCAGCTGGACTACTACCGCAACCCATGTAATCCAAGAGCGGGACGGTACGGTGGCAATGGGAGTAACGGCCCGCCGATGGATTTTGAAGGGACCACTGATAAGATTAGATAGATGGCCACGGTTAGTGAACTGAACAACAGTAAGAATGCCTTTGAAGCTGCTATAGAAGATACGAAGACGATTGCAGAGAAAGAAAGCAGTTTGGGAGTGGTAGGTATCAAAGAGTTGAGAGTTTAGAGTTCTGGCTTGGGCCTCTTAAATTTGAGGTGCCTGCCCGGATCCAAGTGGAGATGTTACCTAAAGCACTGCGTATAACTGTGTGGTGTTTGGAGTTGGAGCTCAATCTGGGAATCATCAGGGCACAGCTGGCACTGAAAATCACAAGAGGATGTGTTCTTCTACAGAGTGGGGTGTGGTGGAGCGGAATTTCAAAATACGGCTTTTGTACTCACGTCTCAACACCCACTAAATAAGTGGGTGGGACTATGCAAATGGCACGTGTAACACTGATAGAGAGGTTGGTCAGTTTTCTTGACCTCTTGGCTTTCAGGATGACCCATTTGTGAAGCACTGACACGAGAGAAACCAGGGGATGTTGGCCGAGCATGTCCACGATCTGTGTGAAGCTTCAGAGGCCCCTGAGACTGGACGCACCAGAGACCATGACACACAGACTCAGAGTCCACAGGATACCTTCTCCTCCTCCGGCTGCAGACCATGGTTCTGTGGGACACAGCGACAGGCGGGCTGGCTCCCTGGCTCATGGAGGCAAAGGCCAAGGGACTGTGTGGCTGAGAGACTTGACTATCACATGGCCGAGAGGCTGAGAACTGGGGAGACTTGGCTGCTGGCTGAGGAGACCCATGACTGCACCCTTACTGGATGCTAATCCTGACTTGTGGTGACCTCCCTAATCATACCCCACCCTTAATTGTGAGTGTTGTGAGTTCTGGGTGGCCATTGCAACGGATTAGAAAATCCAGCCCAGATGTACCGTGGTGTGAGAGGCAGTGGTGGTGTCAGAATAGGTACAGAAGGATGGCGCGTGCAGGCAGGTCTGACTCTTCCCTTGGGGCCATGGGGAAGCCAGAGGAGGTCAGAGAGAGCCACCCTCTATTGCCTTTTATTACATGGGCGCAGACGGAAATGCCAGAACTGACCCTAGAGGCTCCTCCAGGTCCAGGGAGCAGGAGGTAAGACACAAGTAACCAAGAATCGGGTTCTGGGAGCAGTGGGGGGTCCACATGGTCTAAAAGGAAGAGGGAGAGCCGCCCCCCAATGGCAAGATTACATTATGATGTCACCAAACATAGGGGTCAATCTGTTTAAAAGTGTGCTACCAAAAAAAATAAAAATGGCTAGGATAAAAGCAGGTCTTCGTGTTCTGAGGAAGTATTTAAACAACATGGCGCAGGGAAAGCTTTTTCAAAGATTGTAATACAATCCGAGAGTCAGGAACTGAGCCACCTCCACGGGTCCTCGTTCCATCCAGCTGCACAGCGCTGCCTGCACCTGTGCAGGACCGACGGCAGCCTCCCTGAGCTCAGGACCTCACCTGCCCGCTCTGGAGAAATGCTTGCTGGCCTCTCGCACTGAACCGTCCACACAGACTGGGACCGGGCTCATAAAGAAAGCACTTGAGTGCACACGTAAGATAAGGCACCTTGTTTTTAATTCTGTCAGGTCTTCAGAATTCACCCAGGTCTGGGTTCCTCCGGGGAGCTGACACCACGCCGGCTGTCGCCTGCACAGGCTGGCCTGGTATCTGCCGACACCACGCGGGTCACCATCTACACAGGCTGGCCTGGCGTCGGGGAAAGAGTCAGAGTGCCACGGTCCTGAGGAGACTCCTGGGTGCGCTCTGCCCGCCCGTCCACGTGCACTCAGACTTCTCGGTAAACTTCCCACAGCACGACCAGTGGGGACGGCCCGGGTGGCCCTTATGTCCATGGCCACAGCCTAGGTACCCACCTGTGTGGCACAAAGGGGAGGGGGGGACTGTCCTCAGAGTGGAGTCCAGCAGTCCCTGGGGAAAGCTCCTGACTCAGGGAAGTGAGATGACCTGAGGAAAACGGCTGAGAGGGACAAGCTACCAGAATGATCACCGCACAGCAGCTAATGTTAGGGGAGGTTCTACGAATTATGTTAAACCTGCCGACGAAGGAGATGAACTGGCTTGGATTTTAACTGCAAAATGCTCAGAACGAACAAGGAGGGTGGATGGTTAACCAAAGGGAAGGCGACCCTGGCGTGTGTGAGAGAAGTGGTACACAAGCCCACATCATGGCTCCCCAGAAAGGGTGCCGTCGCTACCTACCCACCACCGCCAGCCAGTGGCTTCACCGGCATGGGGTTCTGGAGGTTGTAAATCTTTACAGGAGCAGACAGCTTCGTCTTTCTCCAAAGGATTGGCTGGTGGGTTTGAACCACTGACCTTGTGGTTAGCAGCCCAATGCCTCATCCAGAGCACCACCAAGGCTCCTTAAGGACACAATGTAATTTTTCTTTTCCATAGTAATTCTCTTGTCTGAGCTGACCAAAAGAAGAGGCAGAGCTGGTTCAGGGAGCGTAAGCAGCCACTCTCCCACCCTGCCTCTTGGACACTCTGGAAGGTCTTAAGAGGAGGAGCATGGGTTACTTTTGCTGCAGTGCTCAGGCCGCCAGGCTCAGATCAGGAATCCCACAGGGCAGCAGAGGGCTGCTGGGACTGCCCGGCTGTTTTAAAGCTAAAAGGGCACAGAACATTGAAGCCTGTTATTTCCACCGTTAGAACAAAGCCACTTTTCCATACGGATTCTAGTTCCTAGACACAGTGCCTGAGTCGGAGTGCCCTGAGCCTGGGGCTGTGTGGTAGTGGAGGGGCTGTCACTGGCACGCCCCTGGACAGACCCAGAGGGTAGGACTTGCCCCTTGTACCTGGCATTGTGCCTCCACAGGCACAGCGGGCAGTTTTCTGGCCTCCGCTGGAGCAGAACGTGCAGCAGTGAAACACCCCTTGGTGTGGGCGGTTCTTCTTCCTGACGGTCACAGTGAATGGCGAGCCCTGCAGAGTTCACAGGAGCAAAGAACATGACGTTATGGGTTGACAGGGATGTGCTGAGCATGGCTAAGTGCTAAACAAAGGGTCTATCCCAGTGTCTGCTCTTAAGAGATAGAGACAGCCGGGGTGGAGGGTGGGGATGGGGGTCATGTGATACACGGAAGCAAGCCCATGCTCAGCTGGGTGGGAGCAGATACAGCTGCCGTGAAACCAGGCGTCCCTGCTGCCCTCCACAGATGCTAAGTACTCCATGTAAGTGCTGGTCTGCCCCATGTGGCTGCACCCTCTGGACACTGCGAGAGCCACAAAGCGCAGCTCCCCCTGGATGAGTGACACTTGTATGAGCCGGAGCTTGTTCTAGCAAACGGGGGAAAGCAGAAGCCCAAGAGCACAAGCAACATAAGAGTCTTCCTGGTGGATTCTGTCTCAGCCTGGCCCGGCCTTGGAGTGGAAGACTGTGGTCAGCTGATACACTGTTGTGTTCCGTCCAGTCCATTCTGACGCTCAGCAATCCCACAGAACAGAGTGGAACTGGCTCATGGCATTTCCAAGGCGTAACCCTTATGGAAGTGGCTGGTGAGCGGATTATTCTTGTGATCTCAACCTGTAGTTTTATGTGACTGACTGTCTCTCTACTCTCCATTTCTGAGGCCTCTCAGAAGTCATTAGTCAAGTGCCATGACCACTAGGCTAGGGCAGCTCCGATTTCTCAGCCACACACCCACTGTCCTCCCATGCCCCATTAACCCTTTTCCTTCTGTCTCCACCCACTGATGTTGGGCTGTGCAGAGAGATGGGAGGGAGGGAAGTAAGTATAAGTAAGTGTATGTGGACAGTAATTCCCAAATTATTCACAAGTCCTCTGGCCCTTTCCCAGATTCTTTTCATTCGCCCGTGTCGATGCTCCGGCACACAGGAAGTACTTAGTGAACAGAGCCATGGGCCTGGCCCAGTCTGAGGACCCTATTAGCTGAGAAAGCATAGAGTTGGAAGGCTGGCAGCTTAGAATGCTTCCAATTGTTAAGTTCCCCTTCCTGCAAAGAGGTTATAATCCAGTGGCAACCCAGGTTGGAGTAGGTTCAAATTTCAACCCATGCCGGGTGGCAAGATTGGTTTCTTAAGGCTAATTGATAAAATGCCCCAAGTGGCATAGAGATCATAGGAAAAAATGAAAGGCCATATGCAAATTACCCAACCGGTTCCCGGCATCCTTTTAGGGAAGCAAGAAGTGGCTACTGGATCTGGACCTCGGGAGTGCACAGCTCACCAGCCTAATGTCTCGTGACGCTGCGTGACGCTGCGTGCGGGGATTTCACTGTCCCAGGCGGTGCTCACTGCTGGCCGAGGGGGACCTCTGACTGCTGGGACTATAGCAGAGAAATCCTGCTGTGCACATACTGCCCCATTTTTAAAATCCCACCGTCTCTAAGCCAGCGAGTGTTCTACTTGGTTAGTGGAGGTGGTATAGGAACCATGGTAGTGTGCAGGCATATATTTAACACAGAATCGGGAGGCCACACTCTGGCAGATGGCTGGCCAGATGACTGGTCAGCAGAGAGGACGAGGCAGAACCCTCCCAACTGTGTTGCACATCAGGTGACAGTATGAACAGAGCTGAGAAAACCGGAGCCATGGTACATCTCTGGATGGTGTGTGTTTGTCTGCTGGTAGACTGCCTCCTGTGATCAAAGCATCTTCCCTAAATTGAGAGTTCCAATCAACTAACTGGAAGAGTGAAAAATACAATTACGACTGCCTAGAGGCACCACCGGGAGCAAGAGTCCTTATGGTCACCAGTATTCTCGTGTGGGACGGGGTAGCAAAGTGTAGGCCGCTTCTAAAGTGAAGAGAAATAAGGAAGAGGACAATAAGAGAGTCTCAGTCAGGCCCTTCTTGCAGCTGCTCCCATGAGAAATGCCCACATGTCCTGTGAAGATAAATCCCAGGGTGGGAGGAGTGGGGGCACGAGAGGGAGAGCAGAAAAGGGCCTCTGAGGAGCCTGGGCCCAGAGCTTACCTGGACATGCTGCTCTTTGACACAGACCCACACGGAATAGATCCCAGGCTCCTTGGGGGTGTAGGAGACGGAGTATGTCCCATCTTTGTTATCCTGGACAATCGTCTTGACGGGACTGGATGGAGGTAAGAATTTAAAGAGCATCCACTGTCTGTCACACACCTGCTTCCGTTACCTATTACTTTAGGGTATGAAGTCTACGTATTCCATTCAATATGAATGGTAACGAGCTCCCAAGCACAATGCCACGCCTGGTTCCATCAGAAGTTGCCTTTACCTGAGCAGGTAAGCACCGTACATTCTAACAATCCTGATATTCAGATGCATTCCCTGAACATGGACGGTAGGCTCTTCAAGGGGCCTTCTGTTGCATCCCAGGCTCTCTGTCTTCCCAGCTTCCTATCCCAATTCTCGAGAAATATAAAACCTGTTCCCAGCACCATCTGGGAGCAGTGGGGCTGAATCTGAGAAGGGTCCTGTTCAGTCTGCCGTAAGATAGGCAGGCCGTTCACAGCTTGGAGGAATGCTAATCTGAGGGACACAAACTTTAGAGAGGGACCTGAATACAGGTGTAAAACCCACCTCTGGCCACATGGTTAGGTTACATTTGTTTAGCGGCCTCCCTGGGAGGGAAGTTGTCACTACTGCCGCTACAGCTCCCCAACGGCAAGACCCTCAAGGGCTCGGTTTCCTCACTGCTTATTCACCATGGCCTCCCACTGGGCAATACGAACCAATCTTTCTTGTCTTTGGGGACCACGGCAACTTGAATGTTGTCTCCTCCTCTGTCCATGCTCTCTCCGGCTGCATCCTTACAGAACAGGGTGAAAGAGGCTTTCTGTTTCTCCCGGGCCCTGTGCAGATCTGCAAAATACAAACGTTCAACAGCCAACGTCCACCTCAAATGCCGGCTGCGGTGTGGCTGCCTGCAAACCAGACACCATCTTTCTGGTTCCCTCCCAACCAAAGGGGTGTGATTCCTGCTCCTTACAGTCAGTCATCCGAGCCCCTTTCTCTTCTCTTCCACTGTTATCTCCCCAAGGGCACCCCTTGGAGTCCCTGCTGGAGAGCCTGGTTACCTTTCAACCAGTAGGGGCTCTTGGGTCCCATAGGACCCCGACTTTAACGACAGCCCTAAGGAAGCTTGGAAAATCCTCAGGGTTGACCTAATTATTCAGAAAAGGGGACTTCCAGACCTCATGCGAGAAGCTGGGAGCCCCTAAGCGAGAAGCTGGGAGCCCCTAAGCTACCCATGCTAAGCTCCAGATCCTGCTGGATTAGGCAGCGGGTACAGCTTGGCCCCTTCTTGTTCTCGTGCCAACATCCTGGTGCTGGTGACTGGTGGGAGTTGTGCAGCAGCTACAGCCCCTAGGCCAGCATGCAGATGCAACAGGTTTCCTTAACCGGGGACTCAGGGACCACTAGGAGGTCCACTGAGGAGCTTACGAAGGGACAAGACCCCTCCTGAAAGAGCATGTCCGTGAGCATCATCATACGGGGTGAAGTCCTGCTCAAAGGGATCTGTGACCTCCGCACAGTGAAGCCATCCTGCTGCCTGCGTTAGGATGAGCCTAGGACCCCAGCCTCCTGTCCACACTGCGCTGTGAAAGGAAGGCCTGAAGAGCATGCCTCCTTTGGAAACAGAACAGTGTACAGTGACCCCTCGCCACTTCGCGCTTCGACTTCCGCGGCTTCACTCTCGCGGTTTTTGCGTAACAGCGCATGCTCTGTCATTACTGCCACTGATTGGCTCATACTGTACACGCTTGATGCCATAAATAATATAATAAATAATAAATGATCATTGTAACGTCCAAAATGTTTTACTGTATTTTCCCTTTTTCGTTTAATAAATTGGGTAATGTGTACGAGTGTAATGGTGACTAAAGGGTGTTTTTTCATGTCCTCTATGCTCTAACTACGAAAATATTTGATTTACAAATAAGGAATCCTACTTCGCGGAATTTCATTTATCACGGTAGGGTCTAGAACCGATTAACCGCGATAAAAGAGGGTTCACTGTAGTCCCAATTCACCTCCTCCCTGCCCCTACAGAACGGAATATCTGCCGCACCCCTGAATGCCCGTGCCAAAGCGGTTTATTCAGAACCTCCTGCCAGCACTCCGGGGCCTGCTGCCATGGCCCTCCCTGACCAAGCAGGACTTGGTCCTGCCATGAGGGGAGTACTGTTCTCCCGACCCTTCCCTCCCAACTCCCGGGTTCTGTCAACTGGTATAAACAAGGCATAAATCCCTGACTACCGTGGGGGACACTATTTGTCTCAAGTGGAAAAGGATCAAGCCTCACCCCAGAACCAGATGGTGGCTGCACCCCTTCTTATTCTGACAGAATGAATGAGAAAGGACCCGGGAGAGGTCACTGTCACCTGGCCAATGAGGGGGTGTGGAGGGGGTCTGCCTAGCTGCGTGAAGGCCCACTCTCTCAGGGCCCAAAAGAAATGCCTTCCTACCTTCCCCATGAAGGATACACTTGGCAGGGTCGACCTCCTTGGTACTGATGGCCCCAAACACTTCATAGCCCCGGCACCGGCCGGCTTTCTCCTGGGGAGAGAAGCTTATCTTATCGCTCACCCCCGTCCGGGCACTATACTCGATCTTGTTCAGCTGCGTGAGTCGCTCAACCACTACCCCCTTGGTGACCAGGATCTCCAGGTCCGAGCCGCTGCTCAGCAAGTGCTCAGTGAAATCCACACCAGTCCGCATGTCGGCCAGCAGCTGCTCCAGCTGTGCCTTCTGCAACTGCAGGGTGTTCTCCTTCTGGACCCGGATGTCTTCCAGCTGTGCCAGCAGCTTGTCCCGGTGCTCCTCGATAGCCTTGATGTAGCCGGCGGAGAAGGACTTCACGTCGGCTGCCACGGCCTCCACGCGCTCCTGGAGGGCACTGTTGAGCCCTTTGATCTGAGCCAGGGCTTCCTCCAGCGCCTGGACATGGGGCTGGGTGCCTTTGAGAAGCTCCCGCATGGAGTCCCCGTGCTTGTGGATGACGTTGCTGGTGAAGTCGCAGGGGTGCTCCCGGTGCTCACCCACCACGCAGTCCCGGCACACCGGCCGGTCACAGAGCTCGCAGAACAGCCTCAGCTCCTCCGCAGGGTGAGTGGGGCACAAGATGGGCTTCCCAATCCGGCTGTAGCCTTTCAGGTCTTTGAGGTCCACCATGGTGTGGTACATTGTTTTCTTCTGCCGCCTAGGGGCAAACAGAGTCGGGGACAGGAAATGAGGGACCAACTGTCGCTGGGAAAACAGCTCCAGCTGGCAAAGAGGTCTTAAGAACAAGGGCCTGGAAACCAAACAAGGGTGGTTCAACCCTTGGTGGACCCCTTTGCTAGCCTGGCAATCTTTCATTCTCGTCTGCGAAGTGGGGATAATGCCTACGTGAAAAGGTGGGAGAGTAGAGGAGGGCTTGGGCCATGACTTTGCAAAAAGGCTATAACGCTAAAGCCGCCTCCTGGGGTTCTCTCCAAAGGGCTGGTGTAGCAAGATTAGACATGCAACACAGCTGGCTCCAACAGCAAGCCTAAGTGAGGGGGCAAAGTGGAAACCCGGCAGCCCAAGACAGAAACTGCCAGATGGCCCCCACAGTAATCCCCAGGGGAATTACATGCAGCTGGCCCTGACTATGGCCAAGCATTTCCTTTAGCCAGGGCCCCCAGCACCCAAAACAACAGGCTAGGATCTCCCTCAGCAAGGAACAGCAGCATTATTAGATAGACTCAAAGCTCTCCTTAATTGCCGTTCTCCGTGGTCCTCTAGAGGTTCCGGGAAACCCCCAGGAAACCCCAGGGACTGCTGAGCATCCCCCCCTTCAGCACACCATCAACTTGACGCTTGCCGGCCTGTTGTGGCTTCGGAAAAAGCAGAGCCAGCTGTTCAGCTGGCAGCAAGACAGCCATTGGGATTATCGCATCATTCCAAATTAAAAAAGGAAAAGGCCCAAGACTCCTCACTGGTTCTGTTGCTGGAGGCAAAACCGAACTTAAAAATGAGCTGAGGCTAATCTGAAAACCTGGGCTATTTAATATTCTGATCTGGGGGGTGGGGGGGGTCCGGATGCAACGAAACAGAAGACCACCCGTGGGACACTGTTCAGCAAATGCCATAAAAGAGACAACCCAGACTCCCATGAGCACCCACCAATCCGCCTCCCCAAGCTTCAGTGTAATTCTAGGGTGCAAAGTGAAGGCTGAGGAGGGTTAAGCCCTCAGCGTTTGTACTAGGAAGACAGCTCACATTAAGAGAAAGGGCTCTAAGTGCAGTCAGGAGACCTAGAATTAAAGCGTGGCCTGCTTGGGATCTGGGCAAATCAACGGTTATTACTGAGCCTCAACTTCTCCAATCAACAAACGGGGATGAAAACGGTGGCTGCTTCTCTCTAAAGGTGGGAAAGGTCAAACGGGACAAAGCAAGGGCTATGTTATTATATATTCTTTCCCTTCTGTCTCCCCAGCACCCAGGGCGGTTTTCTTTACCCAAGCGAGGGACAACTCATGGAAACGCAGTGTGCTTTGTAGGACCAGGCACACCGTGGCTGCTGTGAGTACTACACACGCTGGCTTCCAGGATTGACTGCTGGGCTAGAGTACCGAGCTCCTTCTATGGCACTTTGCCTTTGAGTGCTCTTGAGCAAGCTTTTCTTTCCAAGCAATCACCAAGAGATTTCCCTCAGACACCTCTTTGTACTCGTCTCTTAGCCACACCAGCTGGGGGTATCCCCATCTTTACCTATGAGCCTGGCAGCAGAAGTGGCACAGATTGGCTTTGCAGGTCTGACACCTCTTCTCCACCTCCCTGTCGCTGCACAGGTCACACACCAGGCCCTGGCCTTCCCCTCGCAGACTTTCCAGCATCACATCATTCATGGCCAGATGGTCAACGGTTAAGGCCTTCACTCCACCCACGGGCAGGTCCACCTGGGCATCACATACCGGGCAGAGGATGCCGATCTGTGGTCGAGGGCTGCGTGGCTTGGGTTCCTGGAATAGTGAGCCCTCAGAGCTGGTGTCAGAGTCGCCCCCTCGGACATCCACTACTGAGAAGGGCTCCAGCTGCTCCAGGCACGTGGTGCACACCGTGTGCAAACAAGGCAAGAGCTTGGGGGCTTTGAAAAGCCCCAAGCACGACGGGCAGTGAGTCTTGCCTGAGTTGCTAAGTGCCGTCGCACCGGGGCGTTTGCTCACGAGGCCCAGCCGCGGTGGCTCCTTGTTTTCTGACATACTCCCCACGTTTGTGCCCAGTATCAGAAAAGGTCCCGGGCAGTTCTATAATGAAGTAGTAGTAGGTGATGACGCCCACCCCAAGAGGTTTCCAGAACTTGAGCACAGACCATGAGAACTCTCTTGTGGGCGGATAAGAGAGCAGAAAGGAAGAGGGGGATTCCTCAAACGGACCACGCACCGATCTACTGGAGAAAGTTCCCTCCTGGCCAGGGCATCCCATACCAGACACGCCCACACCCTCCTCGGGCCCCCCAACGCCTCCTTCCCTGGAGCGCCTCCAGGACTGGGTCCGGAGCTCTTCCTGCTGGCAAGTCGGGCACCCCTCCCAGCACCTCCCAGACCTTCCACCCCACCTCCCACCCCCTGCCCCACTGGCCGCTCGCCCGACACGCGACAAGTGCCCCTGCGCCACCCCCTCCCCCCGCACGGTGAGGTAGGAGGGGCCTCTTTCTCCTTCGCTCCTCGGGGCGCTCTGCGCGGGTCAGGGTGCGGGGAAGCCCGCCGGCTCCTCGACTGCCGCCGCCGCTGCCACCGCCGCCGCCTGGCAATGCCGAGGCCCAAGGGGCCTGAAAGTACTAGCCTCTGCTCACACCAATCCCCTCCCGCGTCCACTCAGGCGAATCCAATCACCGTCTGCGAGGGGCGGCCCTTGCCGCTTTGGTCCCCGCCTCCCTCCGGAGTGACACCAAGCGAAGCCAATAGGCTTTGGAAGTTCCACATCTTGGCCCGTCCACTCCCCCGAGGGGTGGGATCAAGCGAAGGTCCCGCGGCTGGAGCGGCTGGGGGACTCCGCCCAGGAGGGGGAGAAGAGCTAGGCCGGGAGTCGGCGCATAGGACAACTCGCGTCACCATTCTACGAGTGTTGACCCGCTGTCTCTCTCTGGGGCGAGCAGAGAGGCCGCAAGACCACTTAAAAAGCCGCGCTGATGAAGCCACAGGGACCGCCTCCTTTTCAACCTAGGATTGGTCGCCTCGTTCAGAATTGGCCCTTCTATTGGTGGGCGGTACTGTCCATTGGCCCTTCCCATTGGTGAGCGGTACTATCAAGTGGCCCTTCTCATTGGTGGGCGGTACTGTCAAGTGGCCCTTCTCATTGGTGGGCGGTACTGTCAAGTGGCCCTTCTCATTGGTGGGCGGTACTGTCAAGTGGCCCGTAAGGCGCAGAGATCGCTGGGAGTTGTAGGTTGGCGGCGATTTCTCGAGGAACTGCGGAACAGAGGTTACATTTCAGCGACGGTGTGCGGCTGCGAGCGTCTCCTGTTAGTGCCCGGAGCTTATTTTAGTTCAGGAATCCCTCCGGCCTAGCGTGCCTGTTGCCAGAACTTCGGCTCCTCGCCAGCTCCCTGACTTATTCCGGGAATAAGGACACCTCAGGTGCTGGTTCTGGGCAACTTGTTACCCAGAACCCATGAGGCCAGGTCTGGCATTGAGAGCTTCATCCCGCTAGTCCCGGGATGAAGCCTTTATTTCACCCACGGAGGGGAGTGGTTTGCGGATGACCTAAGCCTTAGGTTCTAGGGGGTAAACATATTTGTTAACATTTTAAATTCGAGGACTCTATGTAACAGTAGCAGACCAAGTCCGTCGCGCTGTTTCTATCCATCAGGCAGGACTTGGCGACTTGCCTTTGGTCACAATGGGACAGTAGAGGATGTCAAAGAGAAATAGGCCCTTTGTGGGCTCACAAGCGAGGTGGCAAGAACATATGCAGCACCTTTACCTGGAGTATCCTTACCAGGCGTCTACTGATTTGCCCATGTGAGAGCCTTATGGCACTTGAGACTCCGAGGTAACAGCCGCGCTCCTTTCCCTCCACTTCCCTGGTATGTCAGAAATACCCCTTCACTCTCTTTTCCATGAACCACCTCCACTGGATTTGGACCCAATAACCAGCCATTTCAGTAACGCCGCTCGGGGCCATTTCCTGCTGTAGCCACTGTGACTGAAGCCTAAGCCTTTAAAAATACAGAATCTGCAGAAGAAGAAAAAAAGTTGACCCTGAAATATGAAAACTATAAATAACAAAAGGTCATTTCCAAAACATAACATGTCAACAAGTCAAGGGCCATTTACGTAAAAATTACATATGTTTCTACAAGGAAGACTGTCTGCCAATGAATGTGCAAATGTGCTTTACACAATTGATGTATGTATGGATTGTGATAGGAGTTGTATGGGCCCCTAATAAAACGATTTTTAAAAAAAAGCCTGCCAAAGTCTTAAAATAGCCCTTACCTGGGATTCTTTGGCGTCTTGTGCTTGTCCATACTTCGCTTTGTCCACTAAGTGTGCTGTGCAGACTTGGGTTTGCTATATATTCTTCTGAACGTCACCTTGGCATTCAAAGCACCTTGATGATATTTTGCTTAATGTCTTATTCATGTTCTATCACATTTCCACTGATAAGTGTCCCCAGCTTCTCTGGTTTAAGAGTGTTTTATAATTTACATGTGCATTGTCTCATCTCATTTAACAACTCTGTGAAGTAAGCCGGGTCCTTTTTTCACAGGTGAGGAAACAGTCTAAGAGGTCTGGTAGGTGCCAAGGTAATGCAGCTGGGGCTTGGACATTGTCTTAAGGATGCCTTGTCAAAGGTTCTACCCTTGCGTTCCCAACTTCTTAAGCAATTGAAATCCTCACATATTCAGCAGGTAACAGCTTTCAATTGAGTGAGGGTAGAAAAAAATCTGGAAAATTCCCTCCTTTCTACTTAAAAATCTTGATTTTTCACATATCTTTTCTCTTTTTCTTCTACCATGGTTAACCCCTGAAGATCTTTGATCCTTCTCCTAATCCTTCCTGTATCCACAAAAACTAGCTCCACCTTCCTTTTCAGTGAGTCCTTTACTATGAATTATGATCAAGTTCTTAAAGGGGAAGTAAAGACATCTTGATTCTGATTGGCCATTGGCATAGTCAGCAGGATCCAAAGCCATCTTTCCTGGCGGGATCTTGGAGGGGTGGGGTGGGGGTATGTGTGTCAAGGATTAGAGCAACGTCCCCATGGACCCTGGGGAGCCCTCAAGGTAAGTGCTCTTGGATTTTTGAACCTGTTTTCTGGGGTTTAAGTCTTAATTAGTCCGGTTGTGTGTTTTCTCCTCTTGTCAACTGTTAGAGGTTTCTCATTCCTGTTCACCCTTTTTACTGCACTCTAGCACTTCGATCTGGTTTACTGGTTAAATCCAGAAAATAATGCTCAGTTTTGGCATTACTTGGTAATTCTGTTTTCAAGGACCTCTGAGTTCTTTTGTTGGCAGATGCACCGACTCCCTGGTGGTGTTGCCCCTGACAAAAGGCTTTGTGTGTTTTGGGTGGAAACACCAGATCTTGTGAGGAATCCCTAGGTGCGAACAGGCAGAAGCCCCCAGCCTGTTCTGAATCACATGTTCCTGGATCAGATGGGATGCCACCTCTGAAGATGAGGCTTGATCTCTGGTCATGCAGTAGACATGGCATGTGATTGCCAAGAATCCGTTAGCAAAACAGTGGTCACCAGTGAAGCGCATTCTTGCTAACTGAAAAATAGGTTAATCTAATTGGAACAGCTTAAAATTATGTAGCTACTTTTGTATGTGTGTATTACTTTGTTTTGTGTTGTGCTCTTTAAAAAATGTTAGACTCTTGTTAATTGTAAGGATACAGAAGATTGGAAGGCAGTGACCTGATAGCCTGTTAGCTGACATCTGAGACTCAGTGAGTATGTGATCTTCACCCAAAGTGGTGTCAGTTTGGAAGAAATATTCTAGGAAGGTGGATAAAATAGAACTTTTTATCCAAGGTGTACACCAGCAGGGAGACTGACAGTAAAACAGAGAATATATACCTTTTACTTTAGAATTTGCACTTGAGGGAGTCACATATGAGAGCTTCACATTAACTCGGGTTTCTCAGGGTCACCTTTGGAAACAAGTGCTGACCATGAGCAAGCAAACAGAGCGATAAAATCCTCCAAGTCGCAGGCCAGTCTCAGGATGTCATTGTTGACTCGATAGCAAGGCCTAGCTTTGAATCACTAGCAGATAAATGAGAGAAAACGCTGTTATT